CTGAGGTATTTCTTGATTGCCCATCATTCAATTTCTTTCATAAATTTTTCTGCACGACGACTGTATAAACTTAATCTGTTTGTTGCGTTGTTGTTTCCAAGGTTATCTGTTCATAGCCATTCTGCAAATTGCTGGTATTATCATCATAAAGGCTCGTTCTTTAGTACCAAACCTTACAGAGAAGGTAAGTGCAGAAAGCTATGCGCACATTTTGATCTCTCTCTCTCTCTCTCTCTCTCTCTCTCTCCCTCTCTCTAATTTTATTTATTTATTTATTTATTTATATCTCTTTTTGTGGGTGCATTTTTTTGGTTATTTAATTGAGTTTATGAGTAATTGAGTACAAAAAAAAATGAGCCCTTGATTGGAAAATATGGATAACAGTAATATATGTGGGGATTATGGTGACAGATTTGCATAATACAAGTATAGTCTAGTCGCCCTTTAGAAGATAGACAAGGCATTTACTGATTTACAGAGTAGGTTCATGGAAAAGCTTCATGTTTCGACTCTTTATAAGCCATATGAGGCTGGGCCGACGCTAGAATACGATTAGTCATTCGCCTATTTTCGGTCGTCTCGTTGTAGATTTGCTGCTGTCCGAAAACGAAACGAAGCATGCTTTTAACTAGCTGCTGTTAATTACCAAATCAAGTGGCAAAATTCACTAACCTTTATATTCGTCCGGTCATCCGGCTTGGTTGTTCTGTTGTTATGTAAGCGAATTGAATTGCTATTGTTTTTTTCGTAGAACTTGCCTTGCTGAGTCAGCTATCGAGCAAATATGGAAAGCGGAGTTATAAAACCGGACAAAACAGAATTCACGGAATGCTGGCGTACGAGCTGGGCAAAGCCTTATATTATGCGCCTCGCGTTATCAGCCGGCATTGGAGGTTTACTGTTCGGTTATGATACAGGTACTCTTATCAAATTCCATTAGCTAATCATAATCTTAGCAAATAATCACAAATTCACTATGTTGTATAGTATTTTCATTGACTTGTAGACTATAATAGTGCGAAAACTGTTCCCCCAGGTGTTATTTCTGGTGCCCTGCTCTACATTAGAGATGAGTATAAAACTGTCGACAGGCATACTTGGTTGCAGGCAAGTGAACTTTTTATCTCAATCATTATATTATTTCATATGAAAATGAAGCTGCCGAAACCTGCCTGCTCGCCTATATTAGAGGCCCGGTCCATCTGACAGCCCAACCGTTTTTCACACAGGAAACGATCGTGAGCATGGCTGTGGCGGGGGCCATTGTTGGGGCTGGTTTTGGAGGCTTGATAAACGATAGGTACGGCCGGCGAAAGTCTATTCTGTTGGCCGACGTTTTGTTTTTCGCAGGTGCTATTGTCATGGCGGCCTCTGTGGGCCCTTGGATGATAATCCTCGGTAGAATATTCGTGGGCTTAGGGGTTGGGATGGCCTCCATGACGGCGCCCCTTTACATCTCGGAGGCATCTCCTGCCAGAATTCGGGGAGCTTTGGTCAGCACTAATGGCTTGCTTATTACGGGTGGACAGTTTCTGTCATATCTCATCAATTTAGCATTCACTAAGGTAAAGAAAGAATTATTTTCTTAAAAAGAGAATTATCAATGATTTAGCATGTTATGAAAAATTTGTAAAATTGTTTTGTGGCTTAGGCACCCGGCACTTGGCGTTGGATGCTCGGGGTTGCGGGAGTACCAGCTCTGGTTCAGTTTTTCTTGATGTTGTTTCTTCCCGAGTCGCCTAGGTGGCTTTATCGCAAGGTAAAGTTCTCTCTCGGTTTTGCATTGCAAAGAATAACGATCAAGGTTCATGATTCAATTTACCTTTCTTTCTTTTTTACCTCTTTGGTGCAGAACAAAGTAAAAGAAGCGCGTGCCATACTCGAGAAAATCTACCCTCCCCATGAAGTCGAAGAGGAACTCAATGCACTACAGTCCTCAGTCGAGGCTGAGAAGGCCGACCAGGAATCCCTCGGGCACGGCCCCCTCTCGAAAATGAAAAACATCTGGAAAAACGACGTTGTCCGCAGGGGGCTGTACGCGGGCATCACGGTTCAAGTCGCCCAGCAATTTGTCGGGATAAACACGGTCATGTACTACAGCCCAACCATCGTCCAGCTGGCGGGGTTCGCCTCGAACAGGACTGCCCTGGCCCTGTCCCTCGTCACCTCCGGCCTCAACGCCGTGGGGTCTATCGTGAGCATGGCATTTGTTGACAGGTCCGGAAGGAGACGCCTCATGATTGTGTCCATGTTTGGTATCATAGCTTGTCTAATTGCCCTGTCGGTCGTTTTTTACGAGGCGGCCGATCACGCTCCACCTGTCGGGAGCCTCGAGTCCTTGCATTTTGGAGGGAACGCCACCTGTCACGGCTACGTGCGGGCCCAACGGCCAGCTGGCTGGAACTGCATGACGTGCGTGAGGTCATCGTCCGATTGTGCGTTCTGCGCCAGTGGAGGTAGCAAGGTGAGCGAGATTTTTATTTTATTTCCTAATTTACCCTTAAATTTTTGTCCTTAAACTTTGACTATACTTATAAAAATGGTGCATCTTGTGTGTAGTACCATCCTGGGGCGTGTCTGGCTGCAACTGATGAGATAAAGGCCATGTGCCGTGGGGAAAAGCGGACGTGGTACACTCAGGGTTGCCCGAGCAAGTTTGGTTTTTTTGCAGTGCTACTGTTGGGAATGTACATCATATCCTACTCGCCGGGCATGGGGACAGTGCCGTGGATCGTGAACTCGGAGATTTATCCGCTGAGGTACAGAGGGATTGGGGGTGGGATAGCTGCTGTGTCCAACTGGGTTTCGAACCTCATCGTGAGCGAGACCTTCTTGACACTCACGGAGGCACTTGGTTCGGCCGGCACGTTTCTCTTGTTTGCTGGGTTCTCGGCTATTGGGCTCGTGGCGATTTACTTTTTGGTGCCCGAGACGAAGGGGATGCCGTTTGAGGAAGTGGAGAAGATGCTCGACAAGGGGTTTAAGCCCGGGTTGTGCTGCGGGTCGTCTAAGGATGAGGATGACGATACTAAATAAATACATTCTGATATATGAATTTTCCACATGAAAATCGAAATGTCGTTGATTTTTCAGCCTTTTCAACGGGGTCGGATTCTGAGCAGGAGACTCTGGCAATGTTACATTTGTTTGATAATAAACAAGCTCAGTCTTCTTAATTGTGAATGCACTTGTGTTCCAGTCTGTTTATCGGATGTTTGATACAATTCTCACTTGTTTACACTTTTAAGTTTTAAGATTTTGCGTGTGTTTGGTTCGGGGGAATAAGAGGGGAGGGGAAGGGAGGGGAGGGAATATTTTTATTTTCCCCTGTTTGGTTCAACTTTTGGCAAGGAAGGCGAGTAAAATTTTCCCCTCCTTTCTCCCACCAAAGGAAAAATGAGGTCCCTTCCAATTTTGGGGGAATTTGGAGGGAAAGTTAAATCTTACAAGTTTTTGTACTAATATGTCCTTCTCATTCATTATAATTGCATAATATGCCCCTCCAGTTTTATGTCTTGTAAATATAATCTTACATAATAAATAAGGATATATTTGTCCATGTAATTTTATTTTCCCTCCCTCTTCATCTTTTAACTAAACAAGGTTAATCATTTTCCTTCACCTCCCCTCCTACAAAATCCCTCCAAACAAGGTAAAATTACTTTCCCTTCCCTCCCCTCCCCTCCTCTCTCTTCCATTAAATTCCCTCCCCTCCCCTCCCCTCCTTTGAACCAGATGTGGCATCTTCAGGTACTCTCAAAGCATCTTCAGTGGTATGTTAATTACAGAATTATAGATGCATTGGGACAAAAATTTCCTCCAACAGTGACTTTTTAATTTCTGCTTGTCATGATGTGGTATGTTAATTACAGAATTATAGATGCATTGGGACAAAAAATTTCCTCCAACAGTGACTTTTTAATTTCTGCTTGTCATGATGTGGCATGAGAGAGAATAAAAAATCGTAGAAGTTTGTCTACATCTGAAAGTCCATTCAAAATGAATGACTCATTTTTTTTCCTCCTTTTTACTTCTTTTGTTTTTTATTAAAATATATTTTTACGTAAAGAACACAAAAATACTAATACAAAAATATATACCAAATGAATTTGATAAAAAAAATTACTAAACGAATATATTTGGGATAAAACTCACTCCTTGTTGTTCAACTTCCATAGGGAATTCCATCCTCTCCCCCCCAGGTCATAATAACTGTTGGAGTAGGTTCCACTGGTGCAGGCACAATCTCAAGTCCCACTGACATCTGACTGTGGGCCTCTGCTGCTACAAACTCACTTCTCTCTT